GGGAGGGTTTGCATCATAGACCCCCAGCCAATATTAAAGAAGGTGGGGGTTATTTAAAAACATGACGGATATAATGAAAGGAATGTAGAAATCCAAGAATTGAAGACATTCGTAATTACACGTAAGTCCGGGCCCTGTTTTGTGTATTGGGAATCACTAAAACAAAGGAGCGTGTATTCATAATGAACGAAATGGCTCATTTTTAAGCTTATGTCAACATTCCAGAAATATTTGAAGAATAGGCCCAAAGCGTCCAATATTGTTTACCAAATTATTCAATCATTCATTTCTTCACCAACATATACCGCAATGCATCTCTAAAAACATTGAGCGATTAAGAAGGGAATAAGTAGGGGATACTTTTTTGACAAAAAGACCCCCAACCACAAGACCCGATATTTAGAAAAGTTTAACTGAATGGAACCAAAATAAAAACTTCTTATATTTTCACCGAAAAAAAATGTATTAAACGTATGGGGAAGGGTGTACCTTGTTCACTTCCGCTGATGGCTTGAAAGTTGACTTTACCTCGCACACTCAATAAAAATCGAACCAATACAAAGCGGACACTCGAATAATTTTGCATTTTTCCGAGTGGAACCATCCTAACAACTATTTATCTATCAGAGTTTGTTCGCCACACACAGAGGAATTGGACTGCGTCAAACAGAAAAGAACCAAGCCATCTGCTGTTGCCGAATCCAATTGGGCAATGTAATTCTATACATGAAAAGGGTTGTGCGGATTTTTGTGCAAATTTCAGTGTATTTTAAATTTATTCATTCATTCATTCATTCATTCATTCATTCATTCATTCACTCACTCACTCACTCACTCACTCACTCACTCACTCACTCACTCACTCACTCACTCACTCACTCACTCACTCACTCACTCACTCACTCACATTTATTTATTTATCTATTTCAATTTTAACGGGACCAGTCCCAAGTGGATTCCATTTTGCAATAAGGAACCACTATTTCTGGTTCTTCTAAAAAATCACTTATTTGCATTGGGAAATTAAAGGCATATATGTTGTTTCTAAAATGAGCCGGAAATAGTGGTTCCTTATTGCAAAATTTAATCCAATTACATAACACTTAAATAAATACGAAGGCAACAAAACATACAACAAAACGGGTAAAGAGAGTGTGACTAATAAATAACTAGAACTCGTTCTTTCACCAAAGACTTAAAATTTTCTCCATAGTACGAAGCAAATTCTCTAAAATTTTCAAAGAAGTCTGCACAATAGTTTTCTTGTAAAAAATTGAATTGCCCAGTTAAATTTGGCAATAGCTGATGTGGCTTGGTTCCTTTCTGTTTAACGCGGTCCAATTTATGCTCCTTCGATACGCCCATATTTTTAAAAAAATGTGCTTTTTGATACAGGCAACCATCAATGAATGATTAATGTTAGCTCTGTTGCAAGTGAGTGAGGACCTGATATGTGTCATGCTTTACTTAATTTACATGAGTTTTTAGGTTGTAACATAAACAGTTCTGACTTGGGCATAGCCAAAAATGTGTATGGTCAAAACTAAAGAAAAATCAATAGTTTGTTCCAAGATGAGCCCGTTACCGCCTTATTTTTTCACTGGTGAACCCTATCTACAAACAAGTAAATTACGGATCCTAAAATTGGGACAAAGCTCATCCCTAACTTAACCTGAAATACCATTACTAGAGGAGTACGGCTGGAAATAGCTCAGCAACGGAGCCTTAGATTTCGATTGGATATCGTGAAAAATAATGCCAAAAAATCTCCATGACTTCTTAGAAAGCGAAAGTGAAATGGACTTTTTTGGGGGAGGGGCGAATTTCAACGGCTGTGTAGCCCCGTCCTCCTTAGTTAAATTGCATTAGTGTGGGCGTGTCAATGAAAAGCCCTGAAAGTCGCCTAATGAAGTGAATATTTCACTTATTCCACCACGATAGAATCCGCGCAGACGAAAAAATCTTATTCTACTATTCCCTCGGGTGGTGGGGGTGTGATCACCTCTTGCTGGTCCATGGTCTGTCAGTAGGGTTGCATAAGGCTGGCCTATCATCAGGAAGACCATGTGAAATGCTTCCCGACTTCCGAAGGTTTAATTAATCGTGGGTCATTTGACGTCAATTCAACCAGGCCCAGTACCTGACCCACTTCGATTTGGCTGAAAATTGGTACATATGGGGTCTTTACATCATTCTAAGAAACTAATCAGTAGGGTCTGCCTATCCGACGCCCCTTTCACGAGATATCGATCCCCAAAGATGAGGTGAATTTTAGTGATACCTATTCAAAAAATCCCTCTTTAGCCATTCTCATTTTCTCGACTTCCCTTCTCTTTGACTCTCCATAGCGAGACTCTGTATCAATCCATTATACTTATAAAGAGTGTTTCTAAATCAACTTTTCATGTAAATCCTGAATATGCCGTCGAAATTGAGCTGAAAATGATTTAAACGGCCTTAATTTAGGGTTTTTCAAAATTTACTATTTTTTCGCTACTATTTGTTCAAATTGAATTATCCAACTGACAGTCTTTCCGATTTTTGATTTTTTTCTCTACTTCAAGCTTAGGATGTATACTTTTGGATGATGAACTGTTTTTAATTGTTTTCGAACGATTTAGGGCCTAAAAAATGCAAGTAGGCCAAAAAAAAGGTACATAATTGATGTAAAAAAAAAAAAAAAAAAAAAAAAAAAAAAAAAAAAAAAAAGACGATTTTTTACATATTCATGCAAGTATCTTCAGAGTAAAGACTTCAATTATTGTTATTTTTCTCCCAAATTCAACCTCAAAATGTATAAAAACAATTAATTAACACTTAAAGATACTCGTCAATCGGTTTAAGGACATTGAAAAATAAAAATCGGCCGGAATTGCTCAAAAATGACGGAAAGGCGATTTTTCGTACGGTAACTGATGTATCTTACGAAAAATCGCTGCCATTTTCGATTCTGTTCCTCTAGTTTAACCTTTTTACCTACTTACCTCCTTTAACCCTCTTTAAGGTGTATACTTCCGAGTACATAACATTTGCTGACATGCATCGATGCATTACGGATCTAAAAGGAAATGTAAATCGGCCGGAAACGCTCGAAAATGACGAAAATCACAGCGACTAATTTCGAAACACTTGGATTACCGTGTAGAAAACCACCTTTTCCCGTGATTTTTAATAATTTCCGGCCGAATTCCTTTTTCTTTTAGATCTGTAACCCATTGATGAACGTTAGTAACCATTTAGTTCTCGACAATGTATCAATCCATTGATGCATGCCAGTAAGTGTTAAGTACTCGAAAATATATACCTTAAGGTTAAAGTGGATGTCCCTGTTTCACGGATATTTCATCTCGGAGTTTAGGGAACAACCTTCTACAAGACTCAAGTCTACCTTTTTGCAATTTTTTGCAAGACTTTCTTTTGGGCTAATAGGATATCACTTACATCAGAAGCATGTCCCCACAGGTGAACGCTACAGTTACTTAATAATGGAGTCAATGCAGGCTTAGTAATAATTAATTCATTACAGAGTCTTTGTCAACTCCACTAGCTAGTTTCCTAATGGCAAATATTTTGGAGGCAACTTTACGCTGTACATAACTGACATGGGTGTTCCAACTTAGATTTTGGTCAATTTGGAAACCCAATTATTTGACTGATTGGCTCACTAGAATTTCATGGCCTTGGAAAACAACTTTTTCAAAGGTGTGCATTTCTGGTTAGATTTAGTATGTAGGTTTTCTCAAAATTTAACTTACGATTGTTTGCCTCTACCCAATTATTAACTAAGGCAATTACCTGTTCTATTCTCTCCAGTATATTATTGCCCTGGACTACAACGTTAATATCGTCAGCATAAATTACTGTTTAACTGTCCTTAATGTCAGACGAAAAATCAAGCAAATCGTTAATATAGATTAAGAAAAAGGAGTACACCTAAAAGCGAGTCTTGAGGTACTCCATACGAACAATTTTTCATGGTAGAAAGATACCTAAGCCCATTTTTTTAAACTTCTGTTTGTTGTTTTCGATTTGCGAGA